CATTTAGGCTTTAGAATTTTATTGTTAAAATTAAAACTACAAATAGATTTTTCTTTTTAATATAGCTATTCTTCGAAACAAATTAGCAAAGACGAATCAGCAATACTATTAGCCCTGATCTGGCAGCTCAGTTTCAGTCACTTTCCCACCGCCGTAAGGTTGTCTCTTTGTGTCTTTTCTATAAATACTTTCATGGTTATTCTTCGGATAAGCTCTTCACTATGGTACCTAGACTTTAATTTACAGTACTAGAATAGCGTCAAGATATCACCCATTTACAGTTGAGTTGGCTAGATGTGACCGTAAGTTCTATGTTAACAGTTTCTTCTCTCACACTTCTCTCTTGTGGAACTCCCTTCCGGCTTCATTTTTTCCAACCAACTTTAATCTGCAAAAATTTAAATGCAATGTCAATCGCAATCTACTGTTTACCTGATTACTCTTTTCTCTTCCCGCTCATTATTAATCTTTCTGTTCTCCAACACCAAGTAAATCCTTGTGTTTTAATGAGCGGCTTTACTGTCTTGCATGGGATGATACCGATTTTAGATTTTTTAAGCCATTATCTTGCGTTTTTTTATAACATTTTTTTATTTATTCTGGAAAAGAAGAGATCTTATAAGTTTCAAATTGTGATTGATGGCCAACATGTATTTTATGGTTTTAAATGTATAAATAAATGCTATGGTAGTTAGGACGTTATCAGTTATGGATGAGTTTTTATCTTCCAGCAATGTCCGTTCCCACCATATATCAGTATGATTAATTTGGGTCTATATTGGCCTTGTGTAATTGGAGTGTTGGTAAATACAAAATAAATCTTTATATAATAATACTGAATGATAAGATGAAAGTTTCAGGGGATGAAGCGTAACAGTTCTGGCGCATACGAGAGAAAGAGTCCAGGAGGAAGAAAATATATATATATATCTGTATATGTATGTATCCAAATGTAGTAGCTACCCCCTTAACAATATATCAGCATACTTTAGCCGTCTAAAGTCGCCAGTTAGTCGTACAAATATCGTATTTCGTCTTTGGGTATGTTACGATGATCGCTGGATCAAGCAATGTGCGAAATTCATTTTATCAACTCGGTATTTACCCGAGACCTCCCCACAAGGCGGGATGTGGCACAAGGCCTGTTTTAATGTGGGGCTTTCCGAATGCGTACGCTCGGGCAAAAATAACCCGTAGACCCTGCATACACGGGGTCGGTGGCTGGCTGTTTTCTCCAGACGAGATTCTGCCCCGTAGGCATAGCCACGTCTGAGTTCCCCTCCGCCCGAAAGCAGAGAGTCCAACAAGCTGAGCTTTGATAATTCATCTATCAACTCTTATTTTTGTTGATTTTCCATCTGGTTATATAGACATCTATGAATACGCTTCAAAAAGGGCGCTCCGTTTCTCGTTGGCTCGCGGCCTACATCTTGATTGTAAGAGTTTTCTCATTGGTTGGTCGAACTATCTATTTTAAGAAATGGTGAAATTTTGGTCTCCCTGTTATTTGTTTGTTTCTTTTCTTACATCCTTGTTGTGAAAGCTTTCTGATTGCCTAGTCGAACTATGGCTTTGTTTGCCTAGCGATTTTTATTTTCCGTCTATTTTTAGAGATAGTGAAATTTTGATCTTCTTGTTATTTGTTTTTCTTTATTTATTTCAATATTACCACAATACTATTCAATTTTATTTTAAACGTACATGATTTTGGATATACGTTGTTCCTAATTTACATCAACGACCTTCCTGATGTCATCAGTTCTTAAATCGGTATCTATGCTGATCGCATAACTATTTACTCTTGATTTAATAGTAAATCTGATTAGTACGATATGGTCAAATTGGCAGCTGATCTAAAAAATTACCTACAATCTGTTGTTAACTGGGGCAAGAAATGGCTTTTTATTTTTAACGTTTCCAAAACGAAATTGTTCTCTTTAATCGTCAGAGAACTTTTTTTGCCTTCCATCAACATGGCTGATGCTAACCTCCAGAAGAGTGTCATGGCGCCTTCTCGGACGAACGTTTTCCACTGAGATCTGATTGCTAGATCTGTTGCTATGAAATTGGTTCACTGTATCGTGCTAGATAATTTTTCTTGCCAGCATCTATCTTACAGATTTATAAGTCTACCTTTCGTCCTTGCTTTGAATATTGCTATCAAATATGGTATGCTGCTTCTGCTATGTATTTAGATAATCTAGACAAAATACAAAGCAGAATCTACAGCGTTATCGAGCCTGGCCTGACATCTCGGCTTCAGTCACTTTCCAACCACCGTCCGCGCCCTTTTCTATAAATATTTCCATGGTAATTGTTCTAATAAGATTTCCTCTTTTCTACTTCGACTTTACCAATTTAAACTCAGTACTAGATTGGCTGCTAGGTCTCATCATTTTACAGATGAAATTGCTAGATGTGACTAAGTTCTATGCTAACAATTTCTTCTCTCGCTCTTCATGCTTGTGGGACTCTCTTTCGATTTCTTGCTTCCCAGTTAATTTTGATCTTCAAAAATTTAAATGCAATGTCATCATCTTCTATTTCCTTAATTTCTGTTCTTTTATTGTTCTCTCTCCTTAGCATTGTTTTATTTTTTTCATATTCTCTCACACTCAATAACTTTCTCCTTAGTGGCTTTATTGCCTTGCTTGGAATGTAATGATAAAAAAAAAAAACGGCTATAAAAATTGCAAATCTCTACACATATGAAGTTGATTTTCTTCTTTATGATACGCAATCTAAAAAAAAGGCAATTACAATTGATCAAATTGACAAATATGAAACATGGCAACGTTTGAAACGATAAATTCAACAATACCCCCACACGTTTATCGTTTCTGACCAATATTGAGGATTTGATTCCTCGCGAGATAAAATGATAAAAATCAATTGATGTATATAAAGTAAAAGCTTTCGTGTTTATTAAGGGAGATAATTATAAGAAAAGTACAAAAGAGTTGTTTACCTTCGCTTTAAAATGTACACGTTAAAAAAAAAATCACCCCCAAAAAATCACAAAACACCGAATTATTACATATACTTTTGGTGATAGAGATGATCGTGGCTCGCCATGGATTCATTTTCTTAATTATCTGAGAATTACTTCCTGGGAAATACAGTGAAGTGGCTTCCCATTGCCTTCTCCAGGATTTTGAATTTTTAAAGTGTTTCATACTGCTAGATTGGATGCCACCCAAGGTTAAAGAGCCCAGTCTACCCTAAATGTTTTTAACCCATAGTTGGAAGTAGAAAAGATGGCAATAGTACGAATTGAAAATTGAAAACAGAATGCTCTTTACCTGCACATTCCTAGAAAGAAAAAATATCTTTAAAAAAATGTTTTTTCTTAATTAGTTATTTAATAATCACATAAGATTATGATGTTTATATCATATATATATATATATATATATATATATATATATATATATATATTCAAAATACACTGTAATTCAAAAGAACATGCACAGGCAAAATGAGGTAAGAGAAGGACATTTAGTTGACAGGATCTTCCATACTTAGGACAATAAAAATTTCCAATGATAAATTGTCATATGCAGAAACATTATCTCATAATACAGTCTTTTAATGGTAGTGCGACTTTTGGGTCACTCTGTGCGTGCGTGTGTGTGTGTGTGTGTGTGTGTGTGTGTGTGTGTGTGTGTGTGTGTGTGTGAAAGGATTTTTTTTAAGTTTTGCCCCATCTTATATTCAGTCAGTTATGTGCTATGCGTGATATACACTTAGGCGATCAAGTATCTTTCGATACATGACTAACGTGGCAGATTTTTTCCAGCAGCAAGTTGCTATTTCTTTCCAGTTGCCATCCAAGGAGTTCTGTCCTGCTATTTACCCATAGCTGGGGGCGGGGGAGAAGAAGAGGATTCATACGTTTCCCAAGGGTATTGACTGAAATTCGATTCCTCAATCCATTACTCCACCGTAGGTCCCAACAAAATGGATGTCTTTTTTTCCGAAATGAAAGTAAAAAATAAAATCGCTACTCGCTGTTTTAAAATATTTGTGAAAAATCGGGAAATTATCCGATTCAAACGAAATTCATTATAATAATAATAATGAATATAATTAATAATTAATTAATGATGAATGAAATTTTTAATGAATATTTTTTATTAAAAAAAAACTTTGACGAAATATTTTTTCATCATCGACGATGATGAAATATGAAATTTATGAAATATGAAATTTATGAAATATGAAATTTATATGAAATATGAAATTTATAGGTTTCATAATCGACGAGACTTAATCCCTTCAAATTTATTCAGTATAAGTTTAATAAAACAAAAAAAATGCCTATAGAGTAAAAAATTATATTCTTGAACTATTGATTAAAGAAAATCTATTTTAAAACATAAATAACAAATTCATGATTATAGCTCTACTGGTCTTCCGGTTATATTTTTACATTTTCGCGCGCTTTTTCGAACAGGGGTAAAATTACACTTGTGTTTTTATTTTGTACTTTGACCTCAACGGCTACCGTGTGTAAATAAACGTTATTTTCATATTGTTTTAAGTAAAAGGCAAGCGTTACTTTTAGAAAATCCAGTTAATTAATCATTAAATTTATTAATAGACTTCGAAACACATCTCTAGGACAAATATTGGATTTTAAAGAGATTTTTAAATGTGTTGTTTACATTTTTCTAATTAATACAATTGCGGCTCGATGACTGATGAAAAACGATTATTTATAAATAATATATATAATAATTTATAATATATTTATGCCTAAAATGATTAATTATATACGGAAATTAATTTTTCTTTTAATTCGGATTACCTTTCCTTTTTAAACTTTAGGCCATTATCTTTCAAACAGAACCGAAACTTAAGTTCAAAGAAGGCGATTAAATTATTTAAAATGTGTTTTTGTTTATTTGTTTTAGAAAGTCCGTGACGATACCTCATTTTATGATTAAATAAAAACAAACAAAAAAACAGTTAATAATACTCAGAGATAATTATTATAAATGATCCCCCTTGACTACTCACTTGGTCAGTTGCTGTTGTCGATAGCAACCTTAATCAGACAGCATATCAACAAGCAAGAAAAACAATATAAATACACGCAACATCGGAGATGCAAAGTCCGATCACGGTTGTTGTTCTGTAAACGCGACTCTAACTTTTGTTTTCTTTCCTTCAGCCTCAGGTAAGTTCTTAATCATTATTTAAGATTTTATTTGAAGTTGCAAAGTGACAACTAGCAAAAAAAAAAAAAAAGAACGAAAGAAAAAAGAAAGAAAGAAAAAAGAAAGAAAGAAAAAAGAAAGAAAGAAAAGTATCATTTAGAAAATTATTCTCTCAATGTTTAAATAAAAATATATTTGACTCGCGTTCAGATTTCCTAGTGTACCTTCAAATCTTTTTCATCTCAGATTTGAACACATGATTTTATTAGTGTACTTCTAAGAATCTAAACCAGAAACCTTCATGAGTAAAAATAGGAATCCAACCAAACTTATGAATAAGTCATAAAGTTTATTTAATAATTGATAATGTGACTCAATGAACAGTGTTCAGTGAGTATGTCAGAATATCTCAAACATCCTTATCAAATATTATAAGTAATTGATGTGCTTCAATATAGACAGTATTAAGATTAAGATATAAATGCTTTTTATTCCAATTTTTTAAATGTTTCTCTTGTATTTTTATTTTGTTTTATGGGATAAATATGATATATAAATTCTATATACATATATCAGCTAATGGTGGGTAATTGAATGACAAAATGGAAAATTCCTAGGTAACACGTTTCAGCCTTCAAAAGGATTTCATCAGACTAAAATAATGTTTTTATTGATGGAATAATATGCCTGTAGAAAGAGGGGGCAAGAATAGAATTGAAATCATCAAATATCATTATACATTGAAAGGAATGGTGATGATGTAGTGATGTTCATTTTTAAATTTATATTTTATATTTCTGGCATTCATGGGTACAACTTACAACTTCATCCATTTTTAAATATGAATGTTTCTATTTGGTATGTTACTCACTGTTACTTTCTGCCTCTCTTGCCTTTAATGTCCTGAGAGTGTCAAATTCTCCAAGCCCACTTTCTTCATTATGTATCCAAAAAACTCTTTCTGATTCTAAGTACAAGTGCCCTTTTTGTTTCCATTTTCCTTAAAACTTACACATTGCTCATATGTTCCACCCAGGGTATTCTCAGCATCCTTCTGTAGAACCATATCTTTATTACCTCAAGTCTCTTCTTCATCTGTGAGAAAATTGTTCTGTATTCATTGACATATAGGAGGATTGATACTGCATAACAATTCAGCACTCTTTTCTTTGTTTCTAATGAAAGGTTCCTGTTTCCTAACACATTTTTTAGCTTTCAGAAGGCACCTTTCACTATTCTGATTTGCTTTTGCATTTTCTGTCATCTGTTAAAACACTTCCCAGATTGTTACATTTCTTTACTAGCTTGATTTTGACATCTTCAATTCATAGTTTGTATCTTTGACATTCCCTTTTGTTAACACCCATATATTCTGTCTTATTACAATTGACCATTAGTCCTTTCCTTCTGCTTTCTTTTACTACTTTTTCTAGGAGTCCTTGCAGTATTCTTTCTGTGTCTGCTATTAACAAAGTGTCTGTCATCTGCATCTCTTTTTGTAAAGATTAGCCCACCAATAATAAATCCTTGTAGGATTTGTAGTTCTTTTAGGATGACCCCCTTGTGTAGGTTAAATAAACACAAGGAGAAAACAAATCCTTGTCTTATGCCCATTTCTATTTTTGTGTCTTACTCATTTTCTATCTGTAAGTGGTTTGCTTCCAATAAATATTCCAGATTATTCTAATATCTTTCCCAAATAAATTGAGTTTTTGAACAAAGATGAAATATTTTAAAATGGCTAAGATCTCCCTATTTGCTTGATTTTGACATCACATAGTTTGCATCTTGGGCTGTTTCTCTTGTTGGCAAGCATATATTGTTTTCTTACAATTAATGGTTAGCCTTTTCTTCCTGCTTTCCTTTACTGTCTTGTCTATGAGTTCTTGCAGTATTTTTTCTGTGTCTGCTATTAACAAAGTGTCATCTGCGTATCTTGTTGTAAAAATTAACCCACCAATAATAAATCCTTGTAGGACTTCTACTTCTCTCATGATCGCCTTACGGTAAAGGTTAAATAAATCCAATGAGAAGATGTATTCTTTTCTGTTTTTGTGTATTTGCTCAATCCATTTTCTGTCCGTGTGGTTTTTCCCCAGTAAATGTTAAAGGTTACTTTAATATCTTTCACAATTAAATCAAGTTTTCCTAGCAGCTCAAATGTTTTATCAAGTCTTTCCTCTACATCGTATTGTGCTCTATTTCTAACTCCTGGTGGCTTTTCTTGTGATCATCATTTTAGCAGTTCTGCCATAGAATCTTTGTTTCTGTATTCTCACAGGATACAACCAGCATTTCTTCAATCACTTACAAAACCACCCATGAAGACATTATTGACTCCAAATGATGAGGATGATGATGAAGCGGAGACAAATGCTGGTGTATTTTTTTGGGTCAACAAACATGGCTTCCCTCTAGATAACAAGACCTGGGAAAGAATGTGGGACCATGCAATAAAGAGACATCCCCAATGTAACAATGTTATCAACAATATACGAAAATCTACAAACAATCTGCCTAATGTAAGTATAAGGATTATTTATTCATTTGTTTTATTGAAATTAGTTAATTAAAAAGCCAACAGGTGGACCCATAGCTATAGTTTCAAGTTAAATGATGTAACTATTCTACATTATGTACCTGCAATATATTTCCACATATAAGGCAACCTTTTAATCTTAAAAATTAGACACAAAAATAGGGGGTCGTCTAATACAACAGTTATAAAAAACTAACCATAAATTCTGGTAATTCGGATAGTATGTTTGCGGCATAGATCATGGTAGGCTAACAACTGACTCAGTATGGTAACTACTGATGTAAATATTTCTAGTTGGTATAAACATCGTCATAAACATCATCATTTACAGTTTCACCATATGGGACCCAGTCCAAATCTGGAGAATCAGCTTTGACTTAGGCTTCATTGTCAGACTCATACAGCATATCATCTTCATTACCATCCTTTGCATTGGAGATCACACATTTTTTTAATGAGTTGACAAGGGTTTCTACTTTTACGTTCCTTATTACAAATTCACACAAAATGACCAATGGTGAATCACACAGTGTTTTGTTTTCATTCGAATAAGAATGAAATCATTATTTTCATGAAGATTCATATTAATACTTTATATTATTTTATTCCTTTTGATTTGGGATATAACCAAAACAACATTTGTAATAACATCAGCTTTATTTTATACCCATAGGAATCTTAACTGCTACTGGCAGATAAGGCTAGCCTACATTTTTGGTTGTCTTACAGAAATCACAAACATTTACTTAGATTTTGGGTCTTGTCTATAGGTTACCTTATACACGGAAATATAGGGTATTTGCTTTTGCTAGCTCGTTACAGTATGATGAAGTTATATACTGAGCCTGCCTGTTCCTCTTTATTGTTGGTTTCTTTTTAAAAAAAATTTTGAATCCATTGGAACTGGGATATTTAATTACAACATTATATATCAGCCAAACATCTCATCAGCTGCTTCTGGATAATCTCATTGCTTTTACTGTTTTCATCACCATGCACAAATTGAATCACTATCCAGTTCACCACCAACTTCAGCATAAAAAAAAAACATGAAGACATTCCTTACAAAATATGTCAATAAAAAAATGAAAACTTTATCCAACCAATATCCAAGAGATAATTGCAAAAAGCACAAAATTAATATACAATATTAACAGCAAAAAAGATTACAAATATTAGAAACAATAATTGTAAGAAAAATGAACAACCTGCAATAAATAAAATATTTAACATAGAAACCAATTTTTAAAATATCTTTTAACAGGCTTCAGTCATCAGGGTATGATGATAAACTACATTCAGCAATAAGACCTATGATCAGAAGATTAGAGGTTTTGAGGAGCAATGGAACCACATCTTAATTGCTGGTGTTCCCAGGTCCACCCTGATCCAGTATGGTAGAAACTGTTAGGGTCCCAGCTATGGGTAAATAGTTAACCCCAAAACTGGTGTCAAAACACTATGAAAGTATAAAAACACATTTTTATAGTGAAAATCTCAACAATGCATTCTCATAATAAAAAAAAATACCAGCAATACATTCTTGGAAAAAGAATTACCAGTAATATATTTTCATAAAGAAAATTATTAATGCTTCCAAGAAAATTAAATTGCAGCATTACATGACCTATAAGGAGTTCATATGCCGCTAAACAAACAAAGAAACAAACTTCAGCCATTACTTTTTAGAAGCACATAAACATGCACAAAGTAAACAGTGAAAACTACAGGTACACAATTTTTTTGTTCATGCTTAAATTGCCTAAACTTTTTAGTATCATCATCTACATATATAGGATATAAATAGTGTGGATGTAGAAATCAACAACTGCATAGTGGTTAGCAGTTTCATGCTTTATATATATATATATATATATATATATATATATATATATATATATATATATATATATATTATTACCTACCCTTCTTTTTAAAATTTAAAATTTTTTTTTAGTAATATTTAATATATTGTCCTGTATTAATTACAGTTGTATTAATTGGGATTAGTAATATTATTAATAATATTATTAATATATTTTATTTTATTCCTACTTTGCTGGTAATCTTTAATAAATTATGAATTAACTATAAATTATATTGATATGTGTTTTTCAAGTGTCACCATGATATGCCTACATATGATAACTCACTCTTCCTTCTTCCTCTTGCCTCTCCTGTTTAACACTTTCTTTCTTCTTTCTTCTTCCTATTTCCCCCCCTCCCCTGCTTTACAATTTCTCTTTTTTTTTTCTTCTTTTCTTTTCCTGTCTAAAAATTATTTAAGAGGTCAAATTGTCTGGCCTCTTGACTGAGTACGCTTGAACCTACGTAAATTATTAAAGATGGTTTAAAAACAACCCTATCCCCTCTTCCATTTCTAATTTAGATCATTCCATGGTCCTCATCTTCCCACCACCTCTGCCACCTTATATCAATCTAAAACTATCCCTCAAAACTTGTATTAAAAATAAAAGAAACCAAATTCCTTTGTAACTAGAAATGTGACTTGATGAACCAGCAAAAATATATTTTCTGGGGAAATAAATTATAGTCATGGAACCTTAAACCTTAAGGGTATCTCTTTCTTAATTATTTAATTAATATTTGCTCTGTTGTTACATTGAGCTCTCTGGATTATATCCTCTTTGGAGTTTTCCACATGGATTACCAAACCCTTCGTTACCTTACTATATATATATATATATATATATATATATATATATTTTAAGGCATTTTTTATGTTTATACATTCTTTTTTATAGATACAAATATTTAAGTAAATGGTCTGTTTATAATAAACAGTATTAATAACATTTACTAGCCTGATTGTCCGAGAAATTTTCATAGAAAATATTCGTCCTCTGACAGGAATTGAACCTGTATCCTATACAGAACCATCATATAGCCTGACATGCCTTAACCGAGTGAGCCACAGAGGATCGTTCGATTAGCAAGGTCAATTTTACTGCTTTTAAACTACAATCTTTTATGAATCTCTCACATAGATTCATATCTGCTCAATGCATATCCAAATGTAAACAAAAGTCCAACGATTATTTTAAGACATTTTTTATGTTTATACATTCTTTTTATAGATATAAAACATAAAAACGTAAAAAATGTCTTAAAATAATTGTCAGACTTTGATCCAGTTACAAAATTTTGTGCGATTATCTTAAGGGGCACTTAAGACCCACTAGTGATTTACAAAGGAGGCCGCATATGGAGCAAGAGTGAGGATTGTGGGATGAGATCACTGTTAGATTGGCTGACCTTTTAGATATATATATATATACACTGGACTCTCCCATCATTTTCAACAAAAGAGGGTCAAGCAGTTCAGTTCTTAGAACCAACAGTTAGACTACTCACACATATCATTTGATTATAGGGGTGAAGCTTGTGTTGAACCACCAATACTTTTTGGAAGAGCCAAATATAGAGAATTGGTGAACAGTATGCCAAAAGGTCCCCAAATGACACTCCACATTTCGAATTCAGAGTTGTCCTTCTCCTAGACCAGTTGCCATCCAAGGCTATAGAACCCAGTCCTGCTATTTATCCATAGCCAGGGGGAGAAAAGATGTATTCATATCTAACCCAAGGGTATTAGCATGTAAGTGAATGTAATGAACTCAACTAGCAACTAGAATTGGAACTTGATTCTCCAATTCCTCAATATGAGCCACTATCAATTATTCCATAGTGCCTCCATACACACACACACACACACACACACACACACACACATATATATATATATATATATATATATTATATGGAAAAAGTATGACAAAGTGGAAATAGTTTCTTGTGATGCATTTCATTCTTTAGGACTTCATTGGACTAAATTTGTTATGTTGGCACTGATCAAGGCACTCTCTAGACATTTTCATCATAGTAAATTATTTTCTCCTTTAAAAATTTAAAATTCCCAGCATCCCTCATTCATGCACATGTGTAGTCAAACCAAAATATCAAATTTAGTCAGATGATGGATGTCCTAAAAAACAAAACACATTACAAGAAAACTTTTTCTACTTTGTCATATATTTTTCCCCAACTTTGTTCTTGATAGATATAAATATATTACATTATCTTATAATGTCATCCACAGACAGACTGTTTCGCTGTTTCACAGCCCATCAGTGTGACTAGACATCCGGTTGCCTCTAGCTAGGATCGAAACCCGACTGAATTGGTGTCAGTCGGAGATTCTACCACTAAGCCATCGGTGCACAACAGGGATGAAGGTGGATTTTAGTGTATTTATTTTTAGAAACACACCCAGTGACCGACAGTAACTCAATTCGCTTTTTTGCGAAGAGTCTCGCTATATTAGCTATAATAGTCACTGTTTACAAACCTACACCTCCTCCCCAGAGAGCTCAACTGAAATTAATTTTTCAGGAGCTACTTCCTCAAAATATATATATATATATATATATATATATATATATATATATATATATTGAGGAAGTAGCTTCAATTTGTATCATTGATTGATTTGTTTTTTTATGGCTTACCATTTGTGGGTAATTTAAAGCCAAAACATAATTTGGATTGTAGGTATAACATGACAAATTTAGTCCGATGAAGTCCTAAAGGATGAAACATGTCACAAGAAAACTTTTTCCACTTTGTCATACATTTTTATTTGGAATAATTTATCAAAAGTTTGGAATTTCATCAATTTGTGTTTCCATACATAACAAGTTAATATCATCAGATCTTTTTTTATAAAAAGATTTTTTTCTAAATGAAATTATGTAAAAAAAAAATTGTCATCAATTTTTTTATCTGTCTATATCTCTAAGATGTATATTATTTACATTATTCAGACTGTTATCCTCATCTTCATTGCCATATTCACATCGTTTCGGCTGTTGTATTCTCCAACCTTCTTCAGGTGATTGGAATTTCAAACAGAACTCTTTATTTCATCCACCGGGGCAGATTCCCCATCAATTCAAGGAGAGTTTCTCTAGTCACAGAGAAAACGGGACACAACCTTGTCTGAGAGAGAATCCAGTACAACCATTGGATAAAACAGAAACTACAATCTGATATCTCCCAGAGAATTTGATGCACTCAAGGCCCGCCAAGTACAAAAATTAAGTCGATTGAATGATCAGAAGGTGACACAAGGTCCATCACCAACCAGTAAAGGCAGTAGTCAGCATCAGTCAACATCAGCTGAGTACCTCTGAGGAGTCAGTTCTAAACAACGGTCTCAGCTTCACCACAACCATCATATATATGGTCTCCCAAAGATTCACAAAGACGGTATTCCACTTGGGCTGATTGTTAGCTGCCAAGGCTCTGTGTGCCATCCTCTGAGTCACTTCCTAGTAGATATAATTGACCCATTAATCAGAAAGTCACCATCGTATATCCAAAATTCCACCCACTGTGTAAATAATCAAAGATGCTCCCATCCAATCCAACCAGATGGTGAGCCTGGATGTGGTGAGTTTGTTCACCAAGCTACCCACAGAGGAGGCATTGTCAGTAGTCAGGGACAGATTGACTTTGGACTCCTCCCTAGGAGAATGGACCAGTATACCAATAGATAATCTGATGGAGATGATGACTTTCTGTGTGCAAACAACACACTTTGGAATGGGATCAGACATATATCAACAGGATAAGGGCTTAGTAATGGGCTCATCATTATCACCAGCAATGGCAAATCTATATATGGAATACTCTGAGGAAATGCCATTAGAATCAACACCATTAAAGCCAACCCTGTGGCTGAGATATGTAGATGTCACCTTCATACTCTGGCCACACTAGGAGTACATCCAGCCACTACTGGACCTTGTGAACTCAATAAGATCATTGATACAGTTCACAATGGAGCGAGAAAGCAACTCAACTTCCTGGATGTACTAATAGTTCGAACAGAGCATGGGTTCAAGAAATCTGTACACCGCAAACCAACATTCTCTGAACAATACCTCAACTTCAACTCCTACTATCCGTACAGTGTAAAGAAAGGGATTGCCACTGCTTACAACATCAAACAAAAGTCACAAGTGGTGACCCAGAAACATATGAACAAGAAATGGTCAATATAAGCAGTACCCTACAACATAACAACTACCCTGGGTACATGGCAGAAGCTCCAACAAACTAATAAGATTGTACAAGAGGATAACATCAGGACAATCTTTAAAAGTGGTTCAACACTTAGCAGGCACTTCTTTTGAGTAAGACCTTCTGTAGAGGAGAACATGAATAAGGACTGTGTGTACATCATCCTGTGCAGCTGTGGTAAGAAATACAAAGGAGAAACAGGTTGCCCTCTCAAGATAAGACTGCAAGAACACCGTAAAGCAGTAATACAAGGGGAAATAGAAAAATCAAGTATAGCTAACCATATATAGAGGGAAAAGGGAGATCAACACCCCTTGTGGGATGAGGTTGAAATAATAGACAGAGAGCATCACTGGAAAATACGAAAACTTAAAGAATCAGCACATATGCTAGGCCACAAGAATCTCCTGAGCTGACCAAGCATAGAAATGAATACAATATGGAAACCAGTAATAAGGATTGCTAGAGAAAAGCAATGAATAACAACAAAAAATTGCAATATATGCTCTGGTAAAAAATGCAATAATAATATCAAAAATTTGCAATGGTAAAAAATGGTTGCTGAAACATTAGGTTTATAAGTCCCAGAAATTCATATGCTGATGTCCTCAAGGACACATGGCCCAGTGGATAAAGATGTTGGTTAGTGACTAGACCTAAAGAGTTGTGAGTTTAATACCAAGCCAAAACTTGGAGAGTTAAGTTAAAAGGAAATAGCTGAGACATTTGGAAGAGGCATGGCATGTGGAACTAGAACAATCTATTCTGGTGGGCGCAATAAAGGGTTTGGTTCAAAATTCCAATCACCTAAAGAACACTGGAGCGTACAATGGCTGAAACATTATGAAGATGAGGATAACAGTCCAAATGTAAATAATCAATTTTTTTTTTTTTTTTTTTCAAAATTTAGTCATCTTCTCTTTAGCAGTTTTTTCCTCCCTTTTCTTTCCAGGTTCCAATTCCTGTGTGGACAATAAAAGCCCAGATGAGTCTGGAAAAGAAAATCCCTGCCGTGCAAAAATACATTGAGTCTTTTGAGTATCCTCTTATTAAATTTTGCAAGTAAACTTAAAAAGTTAGTAATAGTAAGAGGAAAATTGCTTTTGTGGCCTATACTCTATCTATATTCATTGATATAAACAATTGTCAGTCAGAAATAGTTCATATTCACTTGTTGAATACTTTCCATCATTGTTCTATCACATTAAGAATATTTGATGTGCTCTACTACAAAGTTGACTGTTCTCTTTTAATCATCTTAGAGAACCTTTTTCCTCCTTCCATCAGTATGTCTGTTAACATCCAGGAGAGGAATCTTTGTGCCTTCTCGGGCTAACATTTTCCACTGATATAAAGTGGAACAATTATATGGAAGGAAAGTTGATTCACTGTGTCATGTTGGACAATTTTCTTTACCAAAATCTATCTGACACATCTTTAAGTTTACTATTCATCCATGCATTGAATATTGCTACCACATCTGGTCTGGTGCTTCTGCTATGTTTTTAGAGATTCTTGGCAAAATACAAAGAAGAATCTGCAATGTTATCTGTATTGACCTGGCATCTCATCTTCAGTCACTTTCCTATCACCATAGCATATTTTTCCAGTCCCTTTTCTATAAATATTTTCATGGTAATTGTTCTGATGAGCTTTCCTCTTTGGTACCTCAAATTTACAAATTTAACTTTAAGCACTCTGCATTATTAATATGACTTCTCTTTCCACTTCATTCAATGCCTCTCAATTGCAGTAACTTTATTGTTAATTCCACTCAAAGTTGTTTTCTGTTGCCATAGTAGGATATGGCAACACAACTATGTAATTCAAACACTCTATTGTTCAGAGATAAGAGTCACCTTCAGTAGCAGGAAAAACTTTTTGTACAGCAAATGAAAAGATATACAGAGTGATAAAGGTTAAGCACAGTACTAGATTGTCAGCTAGGTCTCATGCTTTTACAGTTGAAAATGCTAGATGTAACCATAAGTTTTATGCTAATATTTTCTTCTCTCACACTTCTCGCTTGTGGAACTCTCCTCCAGTTTCTTGCTTTCCAGTCAACTTTGATCTTCAAAAATTCCAATACAATATCAATCGTTATCTTCTGTCTTTCTAATTCTTATTCTTTTATTGTCCTCTCTCCTTAATAATGCATTTTTTCATATTCTCTCACACTTAGTAGCCCTTGCATCTTAGTGGCTTTATTGCCTTGATTGTGTGAAATGATTAAAAAAAAAAAATTAGAAATTTAATATCAATTGTATCCACACACATAACTAGCAATTTACTCTCACCATAAAATTTGTCATGATTATAGTCCTCTCAGGGCAGAGAGAACACTGTTCAACATTAATGTGGTCTTATGCCAAACAAACTCTTCATATATATCTGTATACACATATACATATATAGAAGCATGTACACATCCATCCATATTTTATAATTTGCTATATTTATAGGGGAAGTGTGCTCAGTATTAAAGATAAAGCATTTAAAGGAATAAACCATATGGATATAGGAATCAACACAACTTGGTGACTGTCAGCCTCAATCTTCCAAAAATCACAATCCCTAGTGTTTAAAAATAGAATAAATTGCCTGAATGCTAGTTTAGTTTTCCCTTGCCTTTTTTATTTTTCAAGAGACAATACAACTCAAACTATGTTTAAAATCTAAATTTATAATTAGAATTCATTAAGGAACGGCAGTTACATAATTAACTGAACACATGCATTTGAATTACACAAGCTCTAAATTCAATTCTATTTGTCTAATGTCTCTGCATACACTCTATAATTTATTTTCTATTTTTTCTTTTTTTTGCAATAGGAGTAGATAGGTTTGCCCATCATCCCATTCACACTTCTTCCCCATCTGTTGAACAGGAGTAAGGTCTGTCCCTTGTTTCCCGTTTAGGATTAAGTTTCTAGTTTCGTTTCATAAATTCTTCTCATTTTCTTTCATATCCAGTAACCCCCTCCGTGACTTAATGGCATAATTGCCTTGCTTGGTGGTAAAAAAAAAAATCACTCTCCTGTCAGATGTTCTTCTTTCCTCTAACATCTGTGACAAAAATCTGAACTGAAGATAAGCACTTCCTGACATTTCCCCATATTATTCTATATTGCTTTTATTGTAACTTGACTCTGCTAAGCTATAATTATACCGGGACACAATTTTTTGATATCAAGAAGAACCGGCCACTTTGTGGGTGAGTAGACTTATACTATTTTTTTTTGTGACTGACAATATAGTAAGCATTATGTTGTCTTATCTTCCTCGCAATACAGTATTGATTTATTACTTACCTGCCATGCCAAGAACTAGAGATTGTCAAATGATCTTACCTATATACACATAGGTCAGTTTGGGCAGGTTATTTTTACCTTTCTCATTTGCATGTAATTATCCACTCATGTAAAGATAAGACATGTTATGTGGTTACCTGCGTCTACCTTTCTTAATGCTGCTGCAATACAATCTTCCTTCTTAGTTTTCCTTTCACATTACTCTGAACAAAGCTAAATTTAGCAAATATTCATATATTATTATTGTTATTTCTCTTTATTTGTGAACTAAGATTTCATCCCTAATGTATACATACATACATATATATATACATATATATATATATATATATATATATATATATATATGTGTGTGTGTGTGTGTGTATATATATATATATATATATATATATATATATATATATATATATATATATAGGGTATGATAAATAAAGTGTCAACTAAATTATGTAAAAATGAAAATAAAACTGACATCTCATTTTAACAGATATATTTACCAAAATTACACAAAAATTTCTTGAAATACTAAAGAGTAAATTTATTCAATAAAATCATTGTTGGCTTCAACCACAGCCTCCAGATGACTTTGGTATCTCCTACAACTCTTCTGGATTGTTGATGAATGCTGACATAATCCTTGCCTTCAGTTCATCTTTGGTGTTACAAGGAGTTTTGTTGGTCCCTTGCTCAACTGCACCCCACACATAATAATCAGGGGGGTTACAGTCAGGGGATTTAGGTAGCCAGAAGTAAGGGGTGATATGGTTGCAGAAATTGTCTGACAGCCATGACTGGATTTTCCTGCATGTGCAGAGTCTTGTTACCAGATATAGGGTTTTCCAGCAGCCATCCTCTTGTCACAGGGCAGCCCTACCTTCACAAGGCAACTTGATGTAGGCCTCTATGTTGAGTCTAAGGCCCTTACCAGCAAATGTGAGAGTTCTTTTCTCATCAGAATGATCACAGTGAGTTTTCTGAGCTGCTGTACTTTCACAATCACTATTAGACTCATCCAACTCTTTCTGAATCTTCTTGACTGTCCCCAGATTGACACCCAAACACCCAGTAATGTTTGTATTGGAGCTTCCAGCACAAATGCCAAGCAGTACAGCAGACTATTTCCAAATTTCTGATGGAGTGAATTTCATCCTGGTGCTCTTTTTCTCACAGACAGTGCCCAACTGATCCTACTATATTGCACAGTTGACAAAATTAAAAATAAACACCATGCAGGTGATAAATTAAAAAATAGCAACAATTTACCTGTCACACCATATATAGAGAGATAGATAGATAGATAGATAGATAGATAGATAGATAGATAGATAGATAGATAGATAGATAGATAATATGATAAAGTTACTTAACTGTAAATATCTGACTTTGAAGTTTCTTGGAATTGTTCATTCTTCAAGGTGACTGTTGTTTGAATATATATATATATATATAACTATATCTATCTATCTATCTATTTATACATATATATATATATATGTATATAAATTAAATGAGAATGTTCAAATTGCTATTGGTGCCAAAAATGAAATAAAATGATGTTCAAATTCCAGTCAAAGCACTAATACTCTTGGTGAAGGCATGTGTCCATCTCTTCCCTAACCAACTTTGGAAAAATAATAAAAATAATCTTAGATGCTGCATATAATTATATTATGTATTATAGATAATTGTTTTAACCTGAACATTTACTAGTCTCATCAATGTATTTTGAAATTTATTACCCAGGGTTTTGTCACCAGTGGCTTGTAGTGACCTTATAATACTAATAATTTTTACAAAAATATATTTTGGGGGAAAATGTTTTATAATATAAGCTAATAAATGAGAAATGTTCAGCATTATAGAATGCAAACTTTTCTTCTCTTTTATATTAAATGATATTAAAGATTAATTTTAATTCATGACACTAGTGATTCACTGCATAACAAAATTTTGACCTTTTTTTCTGTCTTTGTTCAGTAAGTGTTATTTCCTAATTGCTTCTCTCTCAAAAGCCAAGGAAATGACTATTATTCCCTTCAAATTTGCTTTTGTGCCAGAACGGACTATGGCAAAAGTCAAAGCCAATGTCTTTGTCAGACTATAAATAAACATCATAGATTGCAAGAAATTTCCCAAAAAGCTCATTAGGATGGAGAAAGCAGCATGGAACAGCTTTGTCACAGTGGTTAGGGTCTTTCAAGGGAATCACAAGGCCAAAAACTATGTGGAGCTTGTTGAAACCCTAGTGAAGAAGTATGGCAAAAAATAGGCTGCAGAATATCCATCAAAGTCAATATCCTTGACACTCAACTTGATAAATTCAAGTAGAAAATAGGGGCATACACAGAGGGGCAAGATGAGTGCTTCCAACCAGATATACTAAACTTTGAATGCCACTACTAAGAATTGTATATTTGGAGGCTGATTTGTGAAAATAATTTACAGTATAAGCACAAATCATGAAAAAGTGCTCACTTCTAAACATTTTGTGGTCTCTCTTGTATAATCCTAGAATAAACAAATTCTACTTTTTGGATCACATGTTATTTTGTTCCTACTTTGCATGAACAAGAATTTTCATATTAGCCAGTTTTCCCAATGGGAATAGATAAATTTCAGAAATATCATTATCCTGGACACAAAATCAAAGTTTGAAGGAAATATTAACTATTTTTCATACTTTCTAGCTATAAGCAAAATGAAAAAACATTCGCTACCCAAGGACAAAAATCATGTTACACAGTGAATTATCAACTACTCTTTGTCTCAAAATTTTGCCATCTTTCTTTAAGAAAAAAGACTACATACAGTTTCACATTATCTCAATTGGCTCTTATGTAATATTATGGTCCTTATATAAAATTCTGGCTTTTATATAAAAAAAATAATGGCTCTTATGTAAAGCAATGATTCTTATATAAATGCTCATCTTGGTTTTTATACTTACAATGTTTCAGCCATTGTACACGCCAACTTTCTTCAGGTGTTGGTCTTCATACTCCCAAATCAAGTCCTCCTCTGAAGAAAATATGACAAAGAACTATGTATATTCTGTTGTCAGTGGACCATGGAAACTAACATTTGCCATTACTATGTTGTTCACATCTTGAAGCTAAGAAGAGAAAGAGAAAGAGTCTGTCCTTTCCTGAAGTGGGGTCATAAAATCGCACGTGACCAAAAACCCTTTCCAGTTTCTTTATAACTTGCATCATGGGAAAATTAATTTATTTCTTTTTTATTCATTATTATTATTTTATTATTTGTTTTTATGTTATTCTCCCACAGTATTTCAATATTTATCCAGTTGAGAAAGCAAATAGCAAGCAAAAGATATATGTAAAGTAGAGAAACAGAGAAATTTCTAGAATAGGGAAGTCGCAAAGGAAGCCATTTTATATTAGGCATATGTTTGTTATATAAACAACTATAAATATCCAAAAAACAATAGTTCAGTGACATATTATTAACATTATATTAACATTTCTGAAATGACATTTATAAGAAAGTAATGGCTGGAACAGATATAAAATTACAGACAAGTAATTTCATAAATTTAATCTCTTATAAACAGAAAGTGAATAATGAATATCTTTGTGTATTGCTCAGGCAAGATGTATCTGTAGCTACTTTTACATTTCAAATCATTTTGCTAATATGGGAATGAAAAATATACATTTGTTTAGGAAAAGAAAGAAACAGTTGTAATTTCTAGGATACATAATAAGGAAATCAGGCTTGGAGCATTTAATTCTCACACAATATGTTGAAAGCAAAATGGTCAAAGAGAAACAGCATGTGATATATTTAACCTTGTGTAAATGGATGGCAGAATAGGAACTGGGAGAGATAGTAAGCGGACAGACATTGCATAGAGCTACAAAGGATAGGAAGTTATGGAGAGCCATGATTGCCAATATCCTGAAAGATCATAGTACATGAAAAAAGAAGGTACTAAAAATTTTAATTTCTTTTGAATTTTAACTGTATCTAGACAAGTTTGCTATAATGCCTATATGGCTGTAATTTTATAAAAAGGAGTCACTACTTTTAGAGTTCAGCTTGTGATAGGATAAGGAACAAATAGGAAATGTTTATAAATTGAATATGGAGGAGAAAAAGAAAGTTCTGCTATTTTTAATTTTTGCGTAGTTTGTTTTTCATTGGTTAGGCAGACCACATACATCTGTCTTGTCAATTAGCATTCATGCGTATAATTTATGTAGGTATGTGTATCATAATTCTAGTTTGTCTATGTAGGATGATAATGTAAAGGTTGCAATAGATAAATTGTCATCTAAATTACACAAAAATTTCCAAATTTCTGGTGGAGTGAATTGCATCATGGTACTCTTTTCCTCACAGACAGTGTCCAACTGACCCTACTATACTGTGCAGTTGACAAAACCAAAAACAAACAAGGCACTTGTGCTAAATTAAAAATATAAATGGTGACAATTTACCTATCGCACCCTGTATATATTTGTGTGTGTGTGTGTCTAGTAAGCATTTTTATCCATGTTTAGTGGTCGTCCACATGGTGATTTGGGAGCGTTTTGCATAAGGTTTAAAGAATTTAAGTTACACCAGTTGTGGTAGGAGGTAGACATATCATAGATTCTTTAAGTATGGATTTTATAAAAATTGGTGACATAATAAACTGTGTTTGATGTGTGTTTTTAGATGGTAAAATATTTATCAGAACTCACTTAAAGTATTTTCTGCGTAAAGAATTATGTTCTTTTCTCATTAGGGTGGCATTTATAAAAATGAAGTTACAGCCTGTTTATTACAAATGAGTGTAGGTTGTGTACATTTCATTGCTAAGAACACAGTAAAAATTATATAAAACAATATAAAAGTTACTACAGCTTAATAATTGTTCCATATCTGAATAGTATATATCAGCATCTCCTAGCCACATTTCTTGTATATCTTTCAATTAAAATGTTTCTTACAAAATCTTGGTGTTTGAAGTGTTAGCATATCCATGAAAATGTACATATTAGATGGAGGTGTAGTCCATTCTTATCAATAAGGCTGTCCTCATTGTTGGCTTGAATTTTGGTATTGGAATATTTGAGCTTATCACACTCATTATCACTAATGATTTTTCATGTGATTTCTCAATCCAAACTCAGAATCACAAAATTTTCTACAATTGTATATAGAACATATCATAAATTATATCACTCGAGTTCTTCCTGTTATATGCAGATATCACTTCTTGTGCATTGAAAATGCAATAGATTAGATATAAATTGCATACAGTCCAGAAAGTGTGGTATGTTTTAAATGTTGATATAAGCCAATGTCTCCAGGGTTTGTTTGTTCTCAAGTTTCTTAATTGTTCATTTTAGAAATATCTTTTGTTACTTTAAGAAACAACCTAAAGTGAAACAATTTCAAATAGAACTGTTTTCTTTCTCTTTTTCCTTCTCTCTTTCTTCCCTTTCAAACAGTAGTAATTTTGAATATTGCTAATTAGATATTTTTTAATACAGCTACTCAGGGAATAAAGCTTTATTGATTTGGATTCACTCAAAATCAGGTTTTAATTAAATTTAGCATTAAAAGAAGCAAGCATAAATAGATTTAAAAAAACACAAAGATAATTAAGTTTTTTTCCTATTGAACAAATTAAAATTGATGATAAATTCCATGAACAAACAATCTGTTCCTTCTTTTGTCAAAACCAGATTAGCTTAAAGCTTAGATGTCGAGAAAGTTACTCATAAGGTCTAAAGTTCAATACCCAAAATAAGCCTTATAGTCTATGATCTAATTGCAGGAATATCATCATCCATGTGCCATCACTATCTTTATAACAATATTGCTTTCAGTCTAATCTTTATATGTAAACTGGCATAGTGCCCATCAAATATGATAGGATTATTTCTGTTTTTTTTTAATCACCACCATAACATAGCTTCCCTGTGCCTTTTCTATAAATATTGTCATGGTAATTGTTTTGATGAACTTTCTTTCTCTGGTACCTAAACTTTAAGAAGTTAAGTGTACTACTAGACTGGCAGCAAGATCTCATCATCTTACAGTTGAAATGACTAGTTCTCTAGCTAACAGTTTCTTTTCTTGCTTGTGGAACTCTCTTCTGGTTTCTTTCTTTCCAGTCAACATTGATTTTCAAAACTTTAAATGCAATGTCAATCATCATTATCTATTTTCTTAATTCTTGTTCTTTTATTGTTCTGTCTCCTTACTAATGTTTTTTTCTTTTTCTCATATTCTCTTACACTCAGTAACCCCTTAATCTTAGTAGCTTTATTGCCTTGATTGAGGTGAGATGATTAAAAAATATAACAATGTAACTGAGACATCATCTTTATCAAGAATAGTAGTAGTATTGATATTAGCAGCAGCAGCAATTGCCTAACCCCAGAAAACACACAAACACAAAAGAACCCATTTTGTGCTTGTGTTTGCAGTACATCATTCCTCTGGTTATGTTTTCATTGGCATGAAAGAAAACAGACAAAAAAATTGATGAATACTTTTATACTATAAGACTATCTGTAAAAATTATATTAAAATTAGCATGTATATGTAAAAATCCAGTGGTATATGTTATAAGGGATTTTATATTTGCTTCATTTTTGTTGTTGGTTAACTTTCATCTCTAGCAATTTCTTCTATATCAAGCCAAATTAGCATTCTGTCATACCATGTTTATTGTAAATCTTAAGAAAAGTCATTCATGAGTTCAACATATATGCCTACAAATTGATTGATATATTATAAGTTACATTATTATAAACATAGTAGCCATTTTATTACTTCAAACATTATTATAATGGATATTCCGTATATCTTCTGTATAGATACTCCATTTTTATTTATTAAACAGTGTATATTACAGCTATTGGCCTGCTCATTTGAGAAATATTAGTAAAGAATCTATCGATGCCTCCTGGTGGTGGGGGCGACACAATTTTCCTTACTAAGATTTCTTGCTTCTTGCACAGAGCAATTCATAAAAGAAATGTACACTGTTTAATACATAAAATATTGGGATGTCTATTTCAAATACCGAGTATCCACTATAATAATATTTGCGGTAATAAAAATGATGAATTAAAATAAATCTATTAAAAACTTATAAATCTTTAGAAATTACATAGTAGGCTTTGTGTCAAAACTAGACATTGAATCAAATCCATTTTGCTGCTATTACCTTGCGTAGTGATTACAAAAGAGTAGATTGCCAATGAACTGTCCACCCAGTCACACTATTCTCCATTTATACCATTATAGTATACCAGTCATAAAAAAATTAAAATGATGCAACATTAGAGAGGGCAGGAAGAATTAGACTTTCCCTATGGTTTACTGATTTTATATTCTAATTACCTCTTTCCAATTAACTGTACTACAAATTTATAATTCTATACATAATTAAAATAATACATGCTTATTATTATTATTATTATTATTATTATCATTATCATTATTATTTATGATGCTATATATAATACATATTATATAAAATATATAATTCAGATATGAAAGGTGATAAATAATCATCCGTTCTACCAAGAAACCTTTCCTCTAAAAAATCTCTTTGGGTTTTTGGTCAGATTCTGTAAAGTGGACTGGGCCAAAAACTTTTCACTGATTTTTGGATACCAGGAACTAAGGTCCCATACCAGTTGTCTATACTCATCAAATGGAATCATTTCAAGATCATTTCTGATAGAAATTGTAAAATAAAATTCATATATGATATAGTATATAATGCATTATATAAAATGACTAGCAGTAGAGCCCAGTGTTGCCTGGGGATGTAACAGTAAGAGATACATCAAGTATCAACCATCATAAAGACTGAAAAATAAAATTGACAAAGATTATTGTTTAAGGTTGATGGACACACATATCTTAATTAGTTTTTTTTGTTTGTTCTTTTGGTTTTTTTTATGAATTGGTCACACCCAAACTCAAACAAAAACATTGTTTTCAATCGTTATGAGTCTATTGATTGAATAGAATTTTATTATAAACAATTGTCTTGTAAATGGAATTTTTAAAGCATTCTGAATGTAAAAAAAAAAAAAAAAAGTGTGCAAGACAATAAGAAACACTACCTGCCAAAAAAAAGTGAAGTTTTGTTAAAATCGGTTGAAAAATGTAGGAAATCCGATCCCATATATAAACGAACACACACACACACACACACACAACCTGGGTTTTTATAAGTATAACTCGATATGAGTTGTCCCCCTTTCATTCTGGTGACAGAACCATGTTTTATCGTGTTTTCAAATTGATTTCGTGCAAAAACAATTGTGTTTTTCCAATTTTTGGTGCTGTCAGAACCACTGCAAGGTAATTTTACGCAGTCCTGTGAAGTTTTGTTGAAATCGGTTGAAAAATGTAGGAAATTCGATCCAATATATAAACGTACAGACACACACACACACACAATCTGCATTTTATAATAAGTAAGATGGTAAATTCTCATATGCAATAGCCTATCGCAATTAAAATTCAAAGTTTTAATTTTGGGTTTTACAGCTAGTATTAGATTTAAAGAGGCCTTCAGTACATTTGTTTGGCTTAATTCAAATAAAAATGTACTAAAATTATTAGGGGCTAAAAATTATTAATATAACAGTGCAACCATTTTTGCTTGTTTTGTGACATAATAAAACATCTCAGAGTGAAAAGACCAACAAATATTTAATTATATCAAAGCAACAGTAACTAACATCTTATTTTGGGTACCAGTGCACAAATTTATCAAATGACCAACTGTATTAAGACATTAATTAACATTACTTGTTAATACTTTAGAGATGGTCTTAATTATTATTTAAACTAACCATAAAAATTAGCCATGTTTTATGGTCAGCTTTAAAAATAGATTTGATTTAAAAACTGATTTAAAAAATATTTTGATGCTCAATGCTTTCTGGTTGTCACATTCAGCTGGTTATATTCTAAAATATATAAAATGATTTGTTTCATATGATTTTTATACTCATTCAATATTGAAAACTGAATAGAATTTCTAATATGCCAAATTTGAGAAAAGCTAATAATGATGAGTTTGTAATCTTTGTAAATTGATGTTCCATAATGCATTGTAGAATTCTTTTATTTACAGAAAATAGAAAACACTATTTACCTATTACTGGCATAAAAAACAATTTCTTTCTTCCTTTTTTTTTCCAATCCCAGATTGATGGAAACAGCAAAAGAAATCATTCATGAATCTCTTCCCATTAAATGCTTGGAGGCAGTCATCTTGGCTGTGTATCCTTTTGATAAAGAGAAAAACGTTATTGCTTTCTTGCTGTTAGTTCAACCAAAAAAAGCTTATTTATTTTCATTATCTGTAAGAGATTTTACTCAGAACTTGTCATACTTCTTAACCTAAAAATAAATACACACACACACATGCGCACACACACACACACACACACACACATACGCACACACACACACACACATATTGTGCATTTAGGCATCAAATTCTCTTTTAGGCATGTCTTATTTTTATCATAATCCTTTCATATTCATGAATATTTTTCTGTATATTACAATCAAATGAGGCAAGAAATGCACTGTAACAGTGAGAATCATTTTTATTTCCCAAGTACTTTCCATCTCTTTCTGAGATCATCATCAAGGGTGCAACTGGTATGACAAAAACTATGTGTAGCTATCAATTACTGATTTTTTTTCTTTTGCATTTAAATTTTTGGATGTGCAGGCTAATAGATGTAATACACACTGTTTAATAAATAAAATATTTCAAATACAAATTGTCTGCTATGATAACATTTGAAATAATAGAAATATCTAACTACAAATGTCCTGCTCCTCAAAGAATACCAGGATGCAGACAAAGGAATTCTAACTACCACACAGATACCATATCAGTTCTTGATAATGGCTGTGAAAGTAAAAAGTACTTAAATGAAAATAACAGAATATGAACTTCTAACAGTTTATCCACAACTTTGAGCACAATACTCAACACCTTATCCAGAAATTGGAAAAATACTATAAAAAAATTAAACAAATAAACAGACCTTGTCAATTCTTTTTTCATAAAACTTGTTTGGAGGAATACTTGCTGCCTATATATATATATATATATATATATATATATATATATATATATATTTATTTATTCAAAATTTGTAACATAAATATGTTATAAAATCACTACAAAAATAGCCATTTTGTTTCAACACTTCAAGTGATGCTGTTGACTGTAGAATAAAGAGTTTTAAAAGGTTCAAATCAATCAAACACTCCTCGCTAGGGGAAATGCTGTTGTATAAGCTGGAATGACCAATCAAAACACAAGTATATGAGAATTCAAAAAATTTGACAACAAACTTTGGTTATAATAATTATTTAATGCTTTAATGTTAGGGTTTGACTAAAATAGAATTCATTCTAACTAATTAATATTATACTATAAAATTAAAAATTACCAATTTTAAATTTTAAATTTAATCTACATTAAGTTTAAAAAATTATAAAATTATTTAAAGAAGAAACTGAGGAAAAAATACATGTTTTGTTATTTATTTTGTTTTTATTGAAAGGCCAAAAATTAAATTGGAATAAATATATATATAAATTAAGTTGGAAAAAAAAAAAAATATATATATATATATATATATATATATATGTTATAAATTTGGTATGTTATCCCAGCAGAGTTATAAGTTATTGACATTCAGAAAAATGTTTATGAAAGTATGTTTAAAAAATAATATTTTTATAGTATAAATACCAGTATTAGATTTTCAGAGATAAAAAATTACAAGCAATACATTTTTGCAAAAATTTTTTTTTCAAAAATATAAAAAAATTACCAGCAATATATTTTTGAAAAACAAAGAAAACTACCAACAATACATTTTTATAAAAGAAATTACTAATGCTCCCAAGAAAATTAAATTTTGGCATTAAATGACCCATAAGGAGTTGATATGCTGCTAAACAAGCAAACAAAAAATTATAGGGAAAGAATGTTTAAAACAATGTTGATTCTTCTGTGTATGTGTATGTGTGTGTGAGAGAGAGAGAGAGAGAGAGAGAGAGAAAGGTTCAAAAGAAATCTCAGTGGACATTGGACTCATTCACATTTTATCATTATCATTTTAGATCTGATTTATTTTTGACATGAAGTACTTTACAAACTTTATTGAATGCTGTCATCATTTTGCATCATACTATATATTGATCCAGATTTGACATGGTGATGTGGTTCCAAAGGAATTTCACTGATCTTCAGACTGGCTTGTGTCTTATCATCTTTGGTTTACTTGTGGTAGAAGGTGCTCAAAAACTTTTTGAGGCTCACTGGATTCAGTAATAAATTTGCTTCATAATATATATACAATATTAATAATAAAAGAAGACTATATAAATGCAATAGTGGCAAAATAGCTATTAATATACTTGCAATTATATCAATTAATGTTACTAAAAATGCATATGTCAAAAAATGCAGTTAAGATGTAATAACAAAAGAAATGTCTTTCCTGATGTCTGCAGTTATTTTTCATCATTTCACTTTACTTTTCATAAAAGAGTAAGTGATAATAGATACAAGAAAATAAAGACCAATTTGTATAGGCAGTTTTCTTGCAGTTATTTTTTTTTGCTATTAATTTAGAAAAGAATGAGAACAAGAAAGAAAACAGTTGAAACTAGTTTTAGTCTATAACAAGAGAGAGCCATGGAAGTATGAGCTATTCTCCATTTGTATTTCCCCCATTATAGGCATTATCATATTCATGATATAATAGCACTGTATTTCACAGATGGAATGGTTGAAAGGAAAAGGGATAACAAATATGGTTTGTTCTCAGAGAAACTTCTATACTACTAAGACATACATAAAACTATATATACATATATACATGTTTCCCATGCAGAGAAAATATAACATATATATCTAGATGGCAAAACAGAGTGTAAAGAGAAACAAAAAGGTAAGGTCTTACATATAATATGGAGATACTCCTGTATCTGAAGAAGCCATGTTTAAGACTCCAGATAAAAATGGGCTGGATTCATCTACTATGTCCCAGGCTAGGACATATTTCAGGAAGAGGAAATAGCAAGTCTTGGGTTTTCACAAATTGAGGCCTGCAAGCCAGAGTTTCTTTCTATATCTGGGAAAGATGTATTCCCAAAGGGAAATGGCACCATGGACTTGTAAACTGTAGAATTTGTTGGGGGAGGAAGATTTAGTCTCAACCTGGGTTCTTTGGCCCAGACTTAAATAGTAATCATTTGGTTTGGCTGCTGTAAACAAACTAAAATTGACTGCCATTCTCAACACTGTATGGAGTGATGTCCCTAAGCAACATTCATGTGACCTACATGACTTATCTCCACCAAAGGGAGATAATTTCCTTCTGTATCCCTACAAGTCCATCAGACAATTTTGAAACAAGTATTGTTTATTAAGTGTCAAAAATGCACTTAACAGTTTTGACATCAAATTTTGATATTTACAAATAATATTCTGATGATGATATGAATAAAAAAAATCATCATTGTCATCATAGTCATCAGTCACATGACCAGGAATGCTTATAGGGTGACTGTGCAATTGAGAACCTTATCAACTCCCTCCATAAGACTCAGTTGCATGCTAATATTGGAGGTTCTTTGAATGATCTTCCATTATTCAATATCATCAAAATTTTCCAGACTTTCTTGTTTGAGGATAAAACATTAATTATTTACTAATATTTTACTCATCAGTATTATCCTCTGTACAACTTGCTTGTATACAAATGTTTTGTGCATCAATAAGTCTATTGTCTAATGATGAAAAATGTGTTTATTTTACACAATAAATATTCATTTTTTTAACATCGTCATTTTCCTTGTCAATGCACTTAACCCTGCATTTCTTCAAGGCTCATATAAATCAAACATTATACAGTGAAAATTTCAGATCAAAATTTATCAAATAATTGTGTCATGATACAGAATTATTGATTCACCCTTGTAAATGTAAATTCAGTTGGAAAACAACAACCTAAAAATACAAGAGTGATAAGAAAATCTTCTCTGGTTATAAAAAGGATCCACTAGCAGATATAATTTTTGTTTGCACAAAGAAAACACCTCTTCTTACATGGCCAAGGGTAAGATTTATAATACACACCATTTATAATAAAAAAAAAACAACTAAAATGATTTAATTTGCTTAGACTCCTCAACTATTACAAGATATTTGACAAATGGTTTCCGTAATGTTGAGAGATTCGCTATAAGTTTCAACTCACTTTTCCAAGATGTTACTTATCGTCATGTTGTACTTGGAATTTACTGCAATGGTTACTATGGAGCCCTTGGTCTAAGTCGCAGAAAAGAACTCATGTTCAAACCTTTAGTATTTCAGGTAAGCTGTTCACTCAAAATACATAAACAACATTTTCAAATGCAAATTGATTAATATAACTAATCAATAACAAACAGTTACAACAAAATGACAGCATTCAAGGTGGCAAAGAGATTTTCATAATCTTTACTCAATCTCATTACTCTGGTAAAAATAATAATAATAATCATAATAATAATGATGATGTTTCATCTGTAAAAGAACATTTAAAAATAACTTGAGTTTATATAAAAGATTGAAATTATTTAATCTGGATTGCTGAATGTCAGCTTAAGTTTAAAACTTCATTCCTTAGATTTAATTATGGCAAGATGTTTTATAAAATGAATATTTCATAAAACAAAAACCGGTTTGCTGGCTCACAATTGTCATTCATATTACTTTCAGAGTTTGTATGATCTAATCATGAATTTCCAAGTCTCTTACAAGAAATGTGAGTTTTTAATTATTATAATGATAGTGATTATTGCTCTTTGATGATTGTTTATATCTATATCTATATATTAAGAAATGGACAAAGTCCAACAATTTATTTATTAAAGACATTTTTATGTTTAACGTTCTTTTTTATAGATACAAGTATTTAAGTAAATGCTCTGTTTATAATAAACAGTATTAAATAACATTTACCAGCCTGAATGTCCGAGAAATTTTCATAGAATAAAATATTCGTCCTTTGACAGGATTTGAACGCTCCTTTGTGGCCGAAAGGTTAGGCACGTCAGCGTAAATGACGGTTCCGTATAGGATGCAGGTTCGAATCCTGTCAAGGGACGAATATTTCATTCTATGAAAATTTCTCGGACATTCATGCCGGTAAATGTTATTTAATACTGTTTATTATAAACAGAGCATTTACTTAAATACTTGTATCTATAAAAAAGAACATTAAACATAAAAATATCTATCTATCTATATATATATATATATATATATATATATATATATATATATATATATCATTACATTCACTCATGTCCTAGTACCCTTGGGAAAAGTATGAATCCATCTCATCCCCCCCCCAGCTATGAGTAAACAGCAGGACAAACAGGGTCCTATAGCCTTAGTGGGCAACTGGTCTAGAAGAAGGATATCTCTGAATTCAAAACCTCTGGAATGTTGCTTGCTCCCTTCACCCCCAGCTATTGGTAAATAGTAAGACAGACTGAGTCCTATAGCCTTGGTTGTCAACCAGTCTATGAGAAGGACATTTTGAACCCAAACCAGCCTGGAAAGTGTCGGGTTCTGTCAGACTATCTTGTCTTCATATATTATATATATATATATATATATATATATATATATATATATATATATATATATATATATATATATCACTGTGAAATTTTTAGTTATCCATATATGTATATGCACAATATAAACAATTAATTACTTAAAATGTAATTACAATTAAGTGTAGCTTATTGTTTATTTTTTTAATACAGTTCCCAGTATCCTGAGGAGACAGAGCCACATATACTGTAAATGTTACATTTTTTTGAGCTTATTAAAAACATGACAAGCATACACATAGCTAAAAGTATCACAGTGATAGAACCAATTGTCAAAAACCTAAAATAAAGTTGGTTCTATTTTTTGCCTGTATATCCAGGAAGAAATGTTTTACAACCATGGAATCTTTTTTTAATAACAGACAATACAAAAACATTGCTGTCCAAATATGTATGGGAACAGAAGGATCAATCCAGTAAATCTCTTGTCATTGAGTGGAAGATTATAAAGAGAGCACAAGCTTGAAAAGCAACATCTAAATCTTGTGCATTATGCTGACAAGAAAATTTCCAAATTATATCATTCTCCAAGCAGGAACACTTCAATAAAAATAACAGCTCAATAAAAGTTTGGAGTTAGCAGACATGTGAACAAGTTTTTCTTGAGCATGTTAGATGTTTAAAAGAAAGGTTGCTGCTCAAATATACATTAATCATATATATATATATATATATATATATATATATATATATATATATATATATATTTACTCTTTGGTACACTACCAAGGATCAGAGTATCTATGTCGTCTACCTAGAATCAAAGTGTTACTCTTTGGTACTCTAACTATGATCATGGTATAGTATCGGTGAACTCTGAAAAATGTTACACATATAAAATATATGTGGATACACATAATATCCACATAATAAATAACAATAATAACTACTGTCATCAATTACAGTCTTCCACTTTCTTTACATGTAAAAATATATGGGCATACATCTAAAAGAATAAGTCTCTCATCATAAAAGTGGTGGATTGAAAATTTATATATGAAAGAAATAACAAAAAAAGACTAAAGATTTGCATACACTTTTGAATGATTCTATTTCTGCTATTACAGAACACTTAACAGATAACCTGATCTGTGATTTGTCCTTCTCCAGGGATTTTTTCACCATAATCAGTAAAGCGCATTCAGATTACCATCTAAGAAGTCTTGAGACTAGTTATATTAAGTCAGAGCAGCCTTCCTCTGAAAGCAAAAGGAATGGCTGTTTTAATTTGTAATTTATACTGGTGATTCCCTAAAATTTATTTTTTTTTAGTCATTGTGCACATATTTTTGTCTTCAATTGGCTCTGAAGAGTGAGGATCAATTAATGGTTAGCCCATTTTTGTTATTTCTTTGTTGTCATATTTTTCTGATCCACCACCTTTTCTTTTCCTTTCCTTTCTGCTCCTTAGTTTTATATTTGTTGTTTATATGTATTTTTAAATGTTCATTTTTAAAGCTTTAATAAAATGTTGTACCCTCACAGTCTAATTAAGTTTTATTTGTAAGATTCTGTTTCACTTTTTTTAATTATTTTATTGAATGGTTTTCTTCTCTTTCTCACTGAAGATTGCCACAAATTGCTGAAAGTAAGAATTGGACTCCCAATTAATCATAATCCTTACAGTTATGATTATATTATTTGGAGAGTAAGTATTGCATATTATTTGCTGTAAATTCATCATCATTATCTTTTCATTTTTCTTTTAAACTTATCCTTTCATAATTCTGCTCACAGTCTATCAGTGATAATAGTAAACACTGTCTTGACCAAAAAGACAGAACTAATAAAAAAATTGGTTTATATGTGAAGAGTATTCAACCAGTGGTTCCCAAACATTTTTCTCTGAGCTGCATTTTCAGAATGAAAATTTGTTCACACCTCCCCAAAGGGAAGTCCCAGTGAAAAGGCACAAACAGCCTTACAGCAAAGAAGATCAAGGGAGGGGGTTAAAGGGAGATAATTGCGAATTCGAAGTCAAAACATTATCATTGATAACTCTCTCCTCCAGTTTGCTGATTACTATATTCTTAATACTTGATATAATGCAAAAATATCACAATGATAAAATTTGTCAATAACTATTTATACTGGGACTCATGCATACAATTACAAGTAATCCATAATGATATTTTAAATTTTGAAATCATATTTATTTTTGGCATATGAATTTTTGGAAACTGTTTCTAAATCTTTGATCGTCTTTCAATCATTCCACCTCATCTGCTATCCTCTTCCGCTGCACCTATGAGGTGCGCCACACCATTTGGGAAATACTGCCTTACCACATCAAATACTTAATAATCTCTCTTAGCTCTACTTAAATTGACTGAGTTCCTCATAAAAAAATAAGAAAGAATTTTTTTTAGCAATGTTCATAAATTAACATTCATTAGATTTTCCTCAAGCCACGATATTTGTCAGAATCAAAAAATATTGAATTTTTTTCATTTTAGATAGGGCAGTCCTGTTCATAACATAATTAGTTTCAGATTGATCCCAAACTTGTAAGGTGTAAACAGTACTTCGTTTTTATTTAAAAATGTCAAGTTTGAAACTGTCTTTACATCATTCATAACTGTATACTATTATGAATTGGAAAAAAGAACAACACTAAACATAATGGAATTGAAAAAAAACAACACTAAACATAATGTTTATTGCAATAAGAAATATATATATATATATAAATATAAAAGTGAACATTGAAGTCAACACTCAGAGGCAACAGGCTGTTTCATGCTGGATGCAATCATCAGGCAGTCTGATGATTGTGTCCAGCATGAAACAGCCTGTCACCTCTGGAGTGTTGACTTCAATGTTCACTTTTTATATTTATATTTACATACGCTCTATCTCTGATATTGAGCACTTTATCCCATAAATATAGTACATCCTATAAAATATATATATATTATATATATATATATATATATATATATATATATATATTTATATATTTCATTGAACATGTTTCATTGAATAATATAGACATATTGTGTCTGAAGATAATCTTGGAAAAGATCAAAAGTACTTGGGTTAGAAAAACTATTTTGCCATCCATGATAAATTTCATCTTAACATCAAGAAACTGATTAGACAATTGGAAAGGTTTAGCATAAAAATAAATAGACACAATATGTCCATATTATTCAATGAAAATGTTTGATATGTATATATATATATATATATTATATTGCACTAAATATATATATATATATATATATATATATATATAATATATATATAAAATTTCATGTAATTTGAACAGTATATACAAATTAAATGTAGTATGGATTTTTCAATGCAACTCCCAATAAGCCAATGTATAAATGCTCAAGGGTAGTAATTCAGAGGAAACAGTAGAAACTATGTATTGAGTAAGTATTGATTATTTTTTTTTACAGCCAAATTCCCAGAACTGAGTTGAATGACAAAATGGAAAAACTTCTTACTGGTGCATTTGGTTCCAAAATGGAACCACTTTAGATTTCTCAGAACAAAACATGTCACAAAGGAGATTTTACATTTTGTCATTCACTTAACAACTATTAGCCTGTTATATATATATATATATATATATATATATATATATATATATATATATATATATCCATATAATTTATATATTACATATGTAAATGTACTATGTTATTGGTGAATATCTTTATTACAGGTTTTGAGTTTGTTTTTTTCATAATATTTAGATGTGAATATTTATATTTTAATTCTAACTTTATAATTTGAAGTAAATAATTTGTGTGTATGCATGTGTTTTTTATTGTTTTGTTTTAGTTACATTTATTTTAAATACAAAATAAAAAAAAAACTATAATCCCTGCATAACATATGGACTGACTCCCCCATTTTGATAACCCAATATATTTAACAAAATTTAAATTATGTAATGGTCAGCCTCAATTCACCAACTGAAGATTGTCATGAGCATGAAGTTCCAAGTTGGGCTACCAGTGAGGAAAAAGTCCCTATTGCATCGAGCACTATTTCATTAACACCAGCATTCAATGTGTGATGTTATATATATATATATATATATATATATATATAATAAAAAGGCTTAAACACTAATATTCCATGGTCATAATTTATTCCATTGGAATCGTAAATACGATCCAAATCATCAGACCTACAAATTCAAAATGAAAACAGAAAAAAACAACTCGGAAATCAAAACAGAATTTAGAGAAAGTGTAAGTATGAGGAGGAGGAGATGAAACCTTAACAGAGAGAATTTTAGGAGATGTGGAGGCGGGGGGGGTTTAAAGAGGAGAGAGAGAAAGTCGACAGATGTCTAATGCATAAAGATACATTTCGTGGTGACATATACACACCATAGACAATTAGAAGTTAGGAGGTAGGGGGGAAAAAAAAGAAAGAGAAGAGGTGGGGGAGAGAGATGGGACAAAGGAAAATAAATTTGTGTTTACTTAAAGGGCCGCTTTGTAATTGAGAAAATTTGACAAATTAATATCAACTACAGGTTAGAAATCAAATATAAATATATGAAGATGAATATAACGATACACACACACACACACACATAATGCTTGGTAAATCATGTATGCATATACATCTGTGTGTAATATCCTTAAATAATTATCTTAATTATCAACTGACAAATAAGTTCTGTCTTTTCAGGCAATTGTATTAAATATCATCAAACTGGATACAGAAGAGACTGAAAAAAGAATTGAAAAACACTCAAGGGTTATTCGTAAATCGGTAATTCTTTATTTTCATAATTTAGGGTAACCTTTGTACAAGTTATTCCTTTTAAATTCATGAAATTTATTGCACTACAAATCTTCACTCTTTATTCCCAAGAATAATTAATCTTTTTTAAATGTCAAGAGATATACAAATAGTACAACTTAAAATATGTTTATTTTTAAAACTTCTAATAGTAAACCTTCTTCAACTTAAAATACCTTAAGGTACAAGTTATTGAACCTTGTCTCATTTTTTTCTTGATCTGGTAGTAAATACTTTTGCCCTCAAAGCTGGTTTCTTATACTGCCATTTCTCACCAAATAGTTGTCATGATTGAGAGTTAAATTATTTAGCAAACTTTTATGGATTCCGGATGGTGGCATCAGATTTATTAAAATTTGCAATCATTTTTTTCTTTGCTTCAATATGAATGGGGTTGCAAAAAGATTTGATGTGTCAGGAATTGTATTCAATGTGGAAATGAAGACTGGCAAAGTCATTTTCCTTACAGAATCCATAGAAATTTATTTTCATCATCTTATCTCTTCATAGTTTCTTGGTCAGAAATTTAATGATAATAGATGTTTGTCTTAAAATGCAGATGACACTGATTTGACTATGTTCTATAACAGGGATTTTGTGTCTATTCAATTGTGTCTAATTGCAAATAATTAATGAAACCTTCTCCAACAACTGTTATCATTTATACATAAAGATAGACAATGTAAAAATCTATCACCATGACTTAATAACAGTTCAACAAAACATACATGGATTCTCCTAGGGTTATTTTACTATTTTGGGTTGGTTAAAATCAGAAATACATCTTATATATTTACAGAAGCAAATAATAAATAACATTAATATATAATCAACCAGATGAATTCATTACAATTTCAGCTATTGTCATAAGCAAGATGGATTATTTACATTCAGATTATTGTCCACATTTTTAGTCTTGTAATCTGTCCTCCATCAGATGTATATTGATTTTGGTAACCTACAAGGAATTCTGAAATAAACCTTTTATTTAATTTAAGATGCCTAGGGTCATCAAGTTCTTATTTTTAGTACTACCCTGTTTTCACTGGCCCAGGGATTGAACTCATAATGACTATGCCACCAAATTTACAAACAATGTTTTAATCCACTAAATGGAGAACTTGAAGCCTTAAGCCTAACCTGCCTGCTGATGAGTGCTGCTGCTGCTTGTCATTCTTGATTGAACTCACTGAAGTTTTTCTCTTTTTATTACAGCTGCTGCTGCTGTTGAAGACTTGCTGTCATTTGTCTTTCTTTGTTATTTATATTGTATTTATTTCTATGCTGGGCCTACTAAGGCGCTCCCCATAACCTAGCACATGTGCTGATTCTGTCAGATGTCTAACTCTACAAAGACTGATGACTATCTTTTTCCCTTCATACATGATCAGCCATTCCTAATTTCAAGGCAGACTGTAAAACAATAAAATTCATGTCCCTGTACTAATTATGCCAAGAGAAGGTTGAATATATTCTAGTTCTGAAATCTTAATAAAAATGAAATTTAAGGAGAACATTTTTCTAACACAAAAAAGAAATAGTCATTCAAACAAAATTCATTATTAAAGTTCAGTTCTTGAAATTGAGTTTTGATAAATGTTTATAAAATTAATAGTTTCAATTCTTAAGTATACATCATTCAGATGCAGTGGGATACATTATTAGTAATGTCAATACTGGGTTCACAGATCACTTCAGGTCTTTCAGCATCATACAATTTTGCCCTGCTGATCCTTTCCTTGTTGATCACACAACAGCACCACATACATCAGCAGCAAACTACATTTAACCATTAGTACATTTCTTTACTTCTTAGAAATTCACAAAGAATTTAGAAATTCACAAATGAATGAATAAATGAATGAATTTGATTCAATTTAAGGGAAGACAATGAAAAAAAAATAAATGCTTGTATAAGTTTAATTAATGAACATACAATTTAAAAGTATCAGATATAAGGGGCATTAGAATGTCACACAATGAAAAGGAAATATTTCTGGCCACAGTTACCTTCTTGAATATTCTTTAAATCAATGAATTTTATTCAATTCAGATATTAAGAAAAAATAAATAACTATACAATGAAATCAGATAGTTTGTCTCTTGGAAGAAAATACTTTAACTGAACATTAAAAACTTCCTAATCAATAATTATTATTATCTACCTTATAATTTATATGATTGATTGGTTGATTGACTGATTTGTTTGTTTAAAGTCATATCAACTCCTTATGGGTCATTTAATGCCGAAACTTACTTTTTGGGAGAGGTTTGAAATAATTTGATAATTTTACTATAAATATCTATTCTTGGTAAATCTTTTTATATAAAAATGTATTGCTGGTAGTTTTACTATAAAAATGTATTTTTATACTTTCATAGTGTTTTGTTTTTATTAGGGGGTTCACTATTTGCCCATAACTGGGACCCTAACAGGTGCTACCACTCCAGGTCAGGGTGAACCTGGGAACAACAACAATTAAGGCGGTTCCCCACCTATGAAAACCTCCAATCTCCTCATCATAGGCCACTGGACATAGGTTTTCGTCATGCTCAGGACTATAATTTATATATAAGACTAATAATTGCAATCACTAAATATTTGGAAAAGCTAGAGAGAAAAAACTTATACATGGATTTATACATTGGTATTAAAAGCTTAACCAAAGATTTAAAACTAAAGAACAGGAGTTTAAAACTTGCAAAACAGAGAAAAAGCAATCACACATAAAACAATTGACCAGATGTGAAAGTTTTCTCCCATGTACAATGTTTCAAAGAACTAAAAAAAAAACTTATTTCTCTGGAATCCATCATTCACTGTTTTGTGTTGCATTGTTTCTCTAGTGAAAATATCGCATGAATAAAGGAAGTTAAGCTAACTGACTTTTTTTTTTGTTGGCAAATCATCATTCAATTTCCAAGGTTTATTTCTGTTACTATAGAAGGTGCTAAAATACAATTGTAGGCATACAAAAATATCAGCAGCAGCAGTTCAGACTTTTCTCTCAAAAAGCTGTCATATAAGTTCACCAGGAGAAAACATTAGTTGGAGACATGACAGCATTCAAGTGACGTATGTGCAAGACCTAACTCTAAATAAATGTAGTTAGATATAATACCAGCATACACAATTACATTAGTTAGGTTTGGTTTATTTTGTTTTAATAATTTTTTTCAAAAATGTATTGCTGGTATTTTTACTATAAAAACCTATTTCTACACTTTTATAATGTTTTGACACCAGTTTTGTGGTCATTTTTCCCATAGCTGGGACCATAAAAGGTCCTACCACACCAGGTCATGGTAGATCTGGCAACAACAGCATTTAAGAGGTGCTTCCATGCTCCTCAAAACCTTCCGATCAGAGGCCTTGCTGCTGGATGTAATTTATCGTCGTAACCAGGACAACATTAGTCTAGAACAGGAGATATTAATACAGTAAAATCATGGTTTTAAGTATATTCAACTTGTAACAACTTTGTGTATATTGTTTATTTCTAATGTTTTGTTGGTTATCTTGAATAAATGTTTCTCTGTAGAAACCTGTACTTAATTGCTCATGACCCATTCACACTGGATTCTTTGCTTTCTTGTTGAGGACACTCACTAAATATGATGAACACGTAGCTGAGTGGTTAGAACGTTTATTTTCTGACAATGATACCCGGATTCAAATTTCACAATAGTTGATTTGTCAGGAAGGAGAATAGAAAAGAATACATCTTCTCACCAGATTTATTTAACCTTTACAATAAGGCGATCATGAGAGAACTATGGGCATGTGGCCAAGCAGTTAGAATGTTCACATTCTGACCATGAGACCCGGGTTCAAATCTCACCATGGTCGATTTGTCAGGAAGGTGACTTCCTGATGTTATTGGACTGGAGGGGTTGATCCCAGTAGCACCTTTGAAAAGTGCCTGAAAACCATACAATGAGTTGACCCAAACCTTGTGAGTGAAATTGGATAGACAGAACTCTTGGGTGCTGACAATAGCTGTGCTAGCATGAAGTCACAAGTCAGCTTGAGTGTGCTGGCCTTGTTCAAATCGTTGATCATGCTAGATAACATGCTCTTTTCCCACAAAACTGTAACTAAGGTCTGCTCAGTGGGTTCTGTGGGTGTTGAATAAACACAAATGTACCTGAGCAAGTGTCTGCAGTAGGGATTGGCTAGCCACCTTACTAGACAGGTATCCTCAAATACAAGTAGCCAGCTATACTACTACTACTACTCACTAAATGTGATATCAGATTTGCTTTTTTCTTATTGCCATTACTGTTGGCTGTCAGAAAATATATGGTTTACTGAGAGTTATCTGTAGATGCCTTCTTCTTTTTTAATCAATTCACCCCAAGCAAGGCAATTATGCCACTAAGATGCAAGGGGCTACTGGGAGTGAAAGAATGAGAAAACTTTAGAAGGAACTGAAAACCCAATCCTAAACAAGAAACAAGGGATAAACCTTTCTAGACAGGGGAGGAGTGTGAACTGGATGATAGGCAAACCTATCTACTCTTATTGAACTTATTGAAACATTTTGAAATAATTTTGGAAAATGACTATTTAGATTTTTCTGAAGCATGAGAAGTCATCATTTGGATAACAAAATGTCAAAAGGAAAATACTTGTTAGAATTTGATACAACTTTATCTTTGACATAGTTACAGCTTCAATAATATTGCATTTGGTTTGCATGAAAATGACTAAAACCATATATTCATGAGAAACAATGTGTTTACTAGAGAGCTTGATCAATATGAAGGAGTCAAAAAGAATGACTCACAAACTAATTTGAAGTTACTTTAATACTAATTAAATGTGAAAATGAAATCATTTTGGAAAGTGTAAAGAAGATATATGAATTTATAAAGGAAAAGGAATTGTGTTAAAGCCTGTAACATACAATTTTTCTAGAAAATTTTGAACCCTGCTCAGTCGGACATGTACTTAAAATTCTCATCAT